GTTGGTTAACATCGACCAGACTACACAGCGCAACAACCCAGAAGACAAGAAATCTTCAAATAAATAATCATTCAAGAAATTGAGAATTAAATGCCTCATGAAATGATAAATTACCTCACTGAATACAAATGATGAAACATGGCAAAAATCCTTTAGTTTTGTGGTATGTGGAATATAGATATCCTATTAAAATCTCACTTGTCATGGCAAAACAATTATTGTTGGCTACGAAGCAATGACTTATTTTAACATCTGCAATATGTCATGGATGTATTTGTCTTTATCACAGGAAAGTTTCAGTCTGATGAATCCTATCTCCTGTTCATCCTGTTCACATCAGCCCTATCACAAATAATCATGCAGTCACGCTACATAGCAGAGAACTGTTATCCAACACTTTTATTAGAAAAGCAGATGTGCTTAGGTTACTATGTACATTACTTACTTTCCTCAGTCTGCAGTTGGTAGGCCAGTGCTCCATCCTCCTTGACCAGCCACTCACGACACACTGAAAACAAACCACTGAGTCAAAATGTATTTTTAAATGACTAATTATTATACATTACAACAATCTTATTAACCTACATTCCCACTGATCAATGTTCCACTACTCATAATGATGGCTTGATGCATTAACGGATGATGAGGAATGAAACAGCAGTCAATACATGCAACAAATTACTGGAAGGAAACAAAAAGGAAAATTAAGACCACAGAGTAAGGTTATAAAAAGTGGTCTGACAGTTTGCAAGAGTGCATGAGAATGTGGATAGAAAAATAAAACTATTAGAACAGGTTAAGGTCATAAGGAGGTCAAACTTTTTGTAAACAAATATAACCACAGCCTGTGTCAAAAATGGAAAAGCATCTCAATGCTTTGTATATCATGTTATAACATTTTTATAACAGGAATAAAACTTTTATTACCTTGAGTTGAGTGGCCTGCTTCGAACATCCAACTTTACAGTACAAAGAACATGGCTTACTCCTTCTGTACAAAATGGATTCTAACTACTCCTGTCATTGTTTGTTTAATGACATCTAATTCGTTGTATAGATTATAGCATATAAAATGACAATATCTGTACAGAACACATGTTACACCCACAGTTTTTAACTTATCACAGATAGGAAACTGAGAATTTATAATTATTAAAAGAAGTAAGAAATGCAAAGTTACTGAACTACCTCCTTCTACTTCATGAAGAAATGGTGTTTGGAAAGATAATTTTCCACTGTGTGCTAATACTCAAGCTCTTGAATTTCTTCATTACTCTAATGAAGCTAAAAAGTAAAATACCCTGTATTTTGACCGTGTGCCCGTATTTTAAACCATTCACCACAATTCAATCTGGAAACCATTCACATTTGAGATAAGAAGTATAAAGCTCAAATCTTAAGGATGTGAGGCCTTCTCAGAGAAATTAATTTACATTACAGTCCTCTGGGTTGCTGCACACTGTAGTCTCTTGTTAGTGTACAGATTTCAGAAGACAATTCTGCTTTCACCATTCTGTTCCTCAAGAAGGTAACAGCATCTGCTACCTTGCTTCTCCATGACAGGAAAAATAAGACTGTACTTTATAGCAAATGCTAATGTCTTTGGCAACGGGCCTGCCAATATTTACGATACGTGACATGACAAGTGGGACAATTGTAAAAAACTTGAGGCTGGGATAGCATTCTGAATGATAATGGCACAGCCAAGCTGGTACACTCCTTCACATTTCCTCACAAACACTAGTAACTACATGCAAGTCCACAAAGCATTACAAGTCAGAAGAGCAACAAAGCTTATTGTTATCAATATAACATGGAGAACCTCACATATTGTGGCCCTCTAAAACCAGCTTCAAAGGCTAAAAACAGACTACAGATGATACAGATAATATCCATACCAAATTTCATTATTTCCTATTTTTATATTAATGTTCTCAACTGTAGCATTAAATTGCATTTTTTCCTGTTCTTGTAATGGATTAATCCAAAATCATGTGATGGGAAAATTACAAACGTTGCAAAGACCACAACTCTAGAACTATGAGCAACTCAGCGGCAAGATAAAGCTTACCTAACTCAACCCATAACTTCCTGGCAAGGGGCGGGGATTCTCATTAATGTGATCCAACAACTTAACCTAAACAAGAACTACACAGACATGGAAAAACAGGCTAGAATGATGAACAACTTAATCTATCCTAAATAAGAATTAAGCAGACAGCCACATGCCAAAGCCAACCTAATTTAACTACAACTTGTGTTGAAAAAAAGTATATGATCATTATTTGGTGTGAGATCTGTCATTGCACATAAATATATGGCATTTAATATACGCAAGATGGGACTAAAATAATTTTGGTTACCAAATATACAACCAGAACTAAAATGTTCCTAGTGGGCTACGTGAAAGTCACTAATTCAATGCAGTGTCTACGTTTCATATGAAACAAATTAAAGTAAGTAAAGTACAATGCTTAACAATTTTATCGAACATAACATTTACGTCTACGTAACAAAGCAAAGCAAACGGCCACGTATTTCCGATACCAATCATATATTTTTTAAATGTTTTCCACGAATAATGTTACGATCCTTTCAAAAGTAACACGTAAAGAATTTGACCTCGCTTGACCCAATTTAAGTCGTCTTCCCTTTGTTATGTCAACTACACGCCCACATGTTCCAACTCACAACAGGCATTAAGGTGATGCGATACACAGTGCACCAAACATATCCAAGTAAGGTCATTTCAATTAGACACAATACTGCGAAACATGCACTTTTGAGCAACTAACCTTCATTCACACGGCCTGGTTTGGGCAACGTGTCTGTATTCGCCTGGCCCGCTTCTGCCATCTCTCCCATTCCCCGTATTTCACATTGCATTATAAGTTTTCACATATACTTAAAAATATCATAAATTTGTCGCAGTCCACACGCAGTTAGTCATCTTGCTACAGCTTTTATTCAGTACACGCCCTTTGTTTTTAAATAACTCGCGATCAACACACCGTAACACCTTCCGCTCATGTCAAGTCCCCTTCCCCGTAACCATCAACTGTCGCTCGACCATAGATAACCAACATCAGCGGCCCGATAGCCCACTTTCACAGACGGATCACAGATAGGCAAACTCCACAGATCTCTATCGATCACAATCATTTTAAAATTCCATAAGAATGGCGTGATCACGTGACCCAACGTCATATATTTATATTTAACGTCATGCCATCTATTGGGCAATAACCAAACAATGAAATAATAATTTCTTTGTAATAGGACAAAGTATTTGCAAGAAATTGAATTTTTGAAGTAAATACAAAATCACAAAAGTCTAATAAACTATATTTTAACACAAATAACTGTTAGCTCTTCTACAAACAATGGGCGTCGTATGTTGGTAGTATTGTACGCTATATTGGTAAACTGTGTAGTAGACGTTTGTTGACGTCCGGATGTCGTTTTGTGTTTGTAATAACAGCGCTTAGTTCAGATCGGTTTATCGCATTGAATTGCATGAGAACGAGTATTTTAGGCGTAAAAAGTATTCGTTACAGTGTATGAGTTCATACTGTTTCGTGAATATTTTTTGTCAGAAGCAGGTTACATCAATATTTTTAGCTCGTCAAAAGAGGTTAAGTTGCAGGCAACAGGATCATGTCTTTAGCAGATGAATTATTAGCGGACTTGGAAGAGCAGGATCAGGATGATGTCAAGGAGCTGTATATGGACAGTGCGATGTCACTTGATGTTAGTCCAAATCCCACAGTCGTTCCAATGGAAGAAGACATAAAAATTACTTCAATACGTGAAATTGCTAAGCTTAGAGATTCCAAACGACTACGGAATATAATGGATCAAATTGATGATTACAGTGCAAAGCCCCGCAAAGCGGAAGATATCGTTGGACCTGTTGAAGCAGATCCAGAATATCAGTTGATTGTAGAGGCAAATAATGTAGCTGTCGACATAGACAATGAAGTAACTGTAATTCACAGATTTACTCGTGACAAGTACTCAAAACGTTTTCCAGAACTGGAATCGTTAGTTGTTGGACCATTGGAGTATGTTATGACAGTTAAGGAACTTGGCAATGATTTGGATAAGGCAAAGAATAATGAAGCCTTGCAGCAAATTCTAACACAAGCTACAATTATGGTTGTCTCAGTCACTGCATCAACAACACAAGGCCAGCTGCTTGCTGATCACGAGAAAGAGGACATTTGTGAAGCTTGTGACATGGCTATTGAAATCAACAATTTTAAGCAGAAGATATATGATTATGTGGAGAGCAGAATGGCTTTCATTGCACCTAACCTGTCAATAATTGTCGGTGCATCTACTGCAGCCAAAATAATGGGTGTTGCTGGAGGATTAACAAAGCTGTCCAAAATGCCAGCATGTAATGTCATGGTGCTTGGATCACAGAAGAAAACTTTGTCTGGTTTCTCCCAGGTAATTTGCCCCAAAACTGTTCAGAAACATATATAATTTCTCCCTAGCAGAGTCCTGGCATAGACAAAACAAGTCTCTACAAATGTCGTGTAATTAATGGCACTGCATCTGAACACTTGAAGCTAGGTTGGAAATAGAATAAAATATTTAAAATTTAATATTCTTAATCACAGGTTATAAAATGCAGTTTACATAGAAATTTCACACTATGGCAAAATATTTCTTTGATCAGATACCTCTATGTGTGTAGTAGGATTAATGTTTATCATGATTTTGATTTGTTCACACAGATTCAAGCACATGTAAAAAGCATCACATAGCTTGTGCCTTGAGCAAGGTATTATAATAACAGTCATAAAGTGATGGCCCATTTCCCAGATGTGAACGCAATGTTAACAATTTCAAATTGATTATATGTCAGGCATTTAGCAATGCTTATCCTCACAAAGTAGTACCAAATAAGACAAGAATATACTGACTGATAACAACATTATGGGACACAGGAAGTGCTTGTGATGAGAAACATATCTGGCATTGACAGTGTTAACAGATTTTCTGTAAGTTCTTCCTAACAAATAAAAACTAAAAAAGAGAGACTTGTTTGTTGTCTTACATTGATGTCTTCAAAGCTTACAAATACTGTTGTAGTTAGGGCTACATTTTCAATATAACACACTGTAAATCACAATAAAGTATGTTAATTAAAATTTTCACTTCTCAGGTCACAATGCTGCCTCACACTGGCTTCATATACTACTCTGACATTGTCCAGGACACACCTCCTGACCTACGACGCAAGGCAGCTCGGTTAGTTGCAGCCAAAAGTACACTGGCAGCCCGTGTCGATGCATGCCATGAAAGTTCTGATGGTCATGTGGGGCAGATGTTTCGAGAAGAAATAGAGAAGAAATTAGACAAACTGACTGAACCTCCTCCAGTTAAATTTATAAAACCCCTGCCAAAGCCAATAGATGCAGGAAGAAAGAAGCGTGGAGGGAAGCGTGTTAGAAAGATGAAGGAGCGCTATGCCATGACAGAGTTTCGTAAGCAGGCAAACAGGCTTAACTTCGCAGATATAGAGGACGACGCATACCAGGAGGATTTGGGGTATACTAGAGGAACTATTGGCAAGACTGGAACTGGTCGAATACGACTACCACAGATTGATGAGAAGACCAAGGTATGTTCTGGTAGATGCTGACTGTCGTTTTAGAGGAACTTACTGCCTCAGGGTGATATGATCACCGTCATGACGGAAGCAGTAAGCAGCATCCCTGAAGATAGCCATTTTCAGCAGTGGGCCTTGTGCCGCTTGGTTGCTGGGATCGTGGGTTTGAATCCCACTCAAGCCATGGACTTATCTTTAGGGTTTAGTGGTTTCATGAAAAATTAGCATACAATCTCGCCATAAGTAAACTGCGTTAGTCATACAGAATCACCAAAAAAATAGATGGACATACCACATCTGTGATGTATTCAAACAAGTGCCCTCTTTAATGTTATACTTCGTACTTCAAGCATAGTACATTCTACCTCCCCATTTTTTTCTTAGCAAACTAATCCAGAAGTCTCTGTTGTGTGAAATGGTATCATGTCATTCTAATATCCCGTTCTAAGCATTTTTTTTTTTTTGGGTTGTAGGTGCGTATCTCAAAGACTCTTCAAAAAAATCTGCAGAAACAGCAACAAGTTTGGGGTGGAAGCACAACCGTGAAGAAACAGGTATCCGGAACAGCATCTAGTGTGGCATTCACACCTCTGCAAGGACTGGAGATCGTGAACCCACAAGCTGCTGAGAAGAAAGTGAATGAAGCCAATGCCAAGTACTTTTCTAACACGTCAGGTTTCCTCAAGCTTCAGAAAGCTTAAGGAGAAGACAGTGCAGATGTTGATTTTGTAAATAATGCTCTGTAATGGAAGTATGTGCCACAGTTAATAGATTGAATTTGATTGGATGACTGTGTTAGTTGTATCAGAGGACTCCACTTTATAAATGAGGTTAAATGGATTCTGTTTATACACTACACATAATAATAACAGTACAGATGTTATGAGTTCTGAATTGTGTAGTATTAATGAACTTACATACCTGAACACATCTTTTTTCTTCTTCTATAGCTCTCCGGTCCATATTCGGTCCATGGCCTCCTCAATTCTCCTCTTCCATTCAGCCCTCTGTTAGGTTTGTCTGTCCGAGGATTTGATCGAGGTTTCGAAACATCTTCCCTTTTACGGTGCAAGGTTGAATATAAACATGATATGATTCTCTCAAAGCAAAATACTAAATTAATAGGACCTGAAGGTTCATTTAACAACATTAATGTCAAAGCTCACCATTGCTAGTTCAGTCTTAGACATATCTTCACAACATACCTCAACAAGATTCACTTTAATATTATCCTCTCTTCTCAGTTGCTTTTCAGGAAGTCTTCCCATTAAATTTATGTACTATTTCTGGAATACTCCATCCAAGCTGCATGTCTAGACCATCACAATGGTTCTTATAAAATGGAAGTGACAGATTGTAGATCATTTAGCGATAGTGGTCTTACTATTAGACACGCCTGTCCAAGCTGCTAGTCACTGTCACTGTCCCAATATCTGACAGTTTATAAAATGCTATCTGCAATACTCGCAAACTTCTGGACGGAATATATTAAGTATGTACACATAATATGACACGAAATGTGCACATAGCATAACCTTTCTGGTGTTTTATTCAGAATTTATCTTAGACCTTTATGAATGGTACCAGCGATGTTGGAATTGTCTGGGTGGCTGGGGATTCCACAGGTAACGTACTAGTTACGATGAGGGCTTATCATCCCTACGTCCAACTACAAAGCTGAAGGACTACCCCTTGTTGACAGTCTAAGTGCTTATTCATTACATTCGGGTATATGCTATCCACATCTGGATCACATCTTGGCTATGCAAATTCTGGGATAGTACTTTAAGAAATAGGCCACAAACATTTGCTTCATTATCTTCCTCATTCATCATTAACAAGTACTTTCTCATTGAACAGTGTACTCTAGTTGAAGAAGTTTTGTAAAACAAGTAGAAATAAACAACATGATCGCTGGTAAATCATGAAAATATGAAAGGAAAACTGCAAATGGTATATTCAGGAATTCTGTCCTGTGACATGCTGGAGAAAATGATAATGAGGCTACCTTAATACAGATGGATCTAGTGGTTATTTGTATAGGAATTTAATGTGTGACTCTTGTTTTTGCTAAATGTAGGTTCTGCTAATCTTTATCAAACATAAAGTCACACTGAGCAGATAAGGAGTGCACTTATCTGGTGGATGATTAGATTGCCTTGGCACTAGGCACACTCTCTAATTGTAGCTCTCCCAAGATGGGTCCCAACCTGGCATGTGTTCTACTGCTGGTTTGTTTTTGTGCTGCAGAAGTCAGTATAGAAGGAAACATACCTGATGTTAATACAGAGGAAAGCATACCAGAAGTCAGTAGAGGAAAAAGGAATCCTCAAGTTAGTGCTGAAGAAAGCACTAATGAAGTAGTTGTGGAAGAAAGCATGCCTGAAGCCAATACGCAAGAAAGCAATCCAGAAGGAAATGCAAAAGAAAGCACTCCTGAAGTAGTTGTGGAAGAAAGCATGCCTGAAGTCAGAATGGAAGAAAGTTCTCCTGAGGTTAGTGTGGAAGAAAACACAACTGAAGTAAACATGGAAGAAAGCGCTTCTGAAGTCCCTGAAAAAGAGATTGAACCTGTAGTCAGCACAATTGAAGGGAAATTGCGGGGCACAACCCTCCGCACTCACAAGGGGAAAATCATCTATGCATTTCTTGGCATTCCATATGCCACCCCTCCAACTGGCCAGTTGAGGTTCATGGTAGGTTACACTGATGAAGTACTTGGCAGGGCAAAAATATTATAATTTATATTCTGAATGGTAACTTGGTACAAAATTTTCCATATTAGAAGTGTGTGTGTATAGAGAGACAGCAGTGTTCAAGTGCAAGCCATTAAACTGTGAAACTAAGCGTCTTCTTTCTTCTTAGCCTCCGAAGCCATTTAGACCATGGCATGGGATGCGAGATGCTAAAAAGGAGGGTCAGAGTTGCCCTCAGCTGACCTACCCAGAGCGCAAGTATGAAGGCTCAGAGGACTGTCTGTACCTCAATGTTTACACCTCAAAGGTAAGTACTAGTTGACATTGTCTTGCCACTTGTTTAATGTTGTTGGTCGGAGCGAAAGACACAATTCAATTTGAAGTGGACATACCTATACATGTAAAGTACATGCGTTGTTCCAAACTTTTCACTCTTCATTGTTCTTATGTTTGTTTATGATTTATTTAACAATACAGTAAGTAACTCAGAGTATACAGCATCAATGATAGGATGGTTAATGATAATCAAGTGGAAAGGATATGGAAGAAAGTGGAGGTGGCTTAATTTAAGGTACTATTGCATAACTTGTCTGGAAAGACTGAGGAAAACCACCAAAAGCCTCAGTCAGGACAGCTGTTCATAACTGAAGATAACATTGTGCTACTGACTGGACTAATAAACAACACAAATGTTATACCGCAGAGAGGTATGAAGTATTTGATTAAATTCAAATACAATTTACCGATATTCATAACATTTATAGTTAATGTAATACATTTTGTATGACAAGCTGTTTATGAGGAAACTGCAAAGAACTAATTAAAAAAGCTCCATGGAGTAGAGTCTACTTGAAAGCAATAAAATAATAAATACAGTGTCGGAAAATCTATGTTTACAGATGCCAAACATATCGAGTTTGGAGACAGCCCTTCAGGATGTCGTGGTGGTACTCCACGATGGTGGTTTCTCACATGGGTCAGGTGACATTGCAATGTACGGCCCAGATTATTTACTGGATCATGACGTTGTTATGGTCACCTGCAATTATCGCCTCGGTGCCCTTGGTAAGACCATGAGAGTAACAAACTGACCCCAGGGATCAGAGTCCTTCACACATCTTCATACACTAATTCTTTAAGATCCATTTTAATATTATCCTCCTATCTATTCCTAGGTCTCCCAAGTGATTCTTCCCTTTTGACTAGAATTCTATATGAATTCTTCATCTCTCTCATGCTCAGTACAAGTTATAATTTTCTTGCTGTAGGTTTCTTAGCAACAGGAGATGAATCTGCGTCAGGCAACTACGGACTCAAGGACCAGGTGGATGTGATGCGGTGGGTGCGTCGTAACATCCACAATTTTTCTGGAAACCCTAACAGCGTGACGCTGTTTGGGGCAGGTGCAGGAGCTGCCAGCGTGCACTACCACATGTTGTCTGTCCTCTCACATAGTGAGTAGATTCTCTGGTTTTAAAGAAAATGAACCGGTCCGCAGTGGCCGCGCGTTCTGAGGCATGGGCCTTGTGCCGCTTGGTTGCTGGGACCGTGGGTTCGAATCCCAATCAAGCCATGGATGTTTTTCTGTGTTGTGCTGTCCTGTGTACAGGTAGAGGCCTTGCGACGGGCTGATCCCTCGTCCAAGGAGTCCTACCGAATGTCCATAGATCAAGCCAACTGAAAAAGTTGGGGACCCGTAAAAGGGTACCGGAAAATGTAGAAACATTGTTAAACCGGAAAAAGAAGAAGAAAATGAACTGTTACACAGTACAAAGTAACTAAATAATTAACTAAAAACATTCTCAAATTCCAATATTATTAATGTGTGCTAGAATTGTTTCACCGAGCGATATCCCAGTCTGGCACTGCTCTCTCGCCCTGGGCCCACGTTAGGGCTACAACAGCCCGAAAGCGAGCCTTTAAGCTAGGCAAGTTGCTGGGCTGTAAGAAGAAGGAATTGGAAGAAACAGAGCAACTAATCAAATGCATCGGCAGGAAACCTGTAAAAGACCTGGTAGAGGAATCAGCCAAAATCTTGGTGAGTGCTCCGTGTGTTTAGTGTCTGTACTGTGTTTGCACATTATATATATCGGATTACTAGACAGACAAGTTGTTTTGTGGAACAGGCAGGTATAGATTATTATGGCAAAATAGCTCAAAAAAGAATGATTTAAAATATTAACAAAATAAAATATGTTAATTCTATCAGCTTCATTTCATTTCTTTGCTTGAATTACATATATTTATTGTAGAAAATTGTAAACATGATGTTATGTTGGCCTCCAACTGAACAACGTTCATACCAAATTTTCAGGAAATCTGTAAATTTGTTAAAAAGTTTAAACACCTGAAGAAGGCTAATAATAATAATAATAATAATATACTGATTATCATAATATGAAATTAATATGGTAATCAAGAATAACGTACGACATGAAACACGCATAAGTACGGACGTGTTTTTGTACACAGGAGTACTCAACAAGATTCACACACCCGTTCGTGCCTGTTGAAGATGAAGTTGTGCTGAAAAATAAGAAACCCCTGCTCCACGACAGACCCATCAACATTATGAAGAAACCTGTCCCTGCCTTGTGGGAGATTCCATGGCTTGTAGGCGTCACTTCACACGAGGGGTTGCCACAGTCACTCCGTAAGTCTCTCAAAATTGTTTTAATGCTTGTTTAATTTTAACAAATATATCACATGCTTCTTTACACAAATTCATCACTACCCCAGTGCCTTCTTGTATCACAGCGAGTAAGTCTTGACTGTCATATGTGGTATTGTATCCTTAAGGATCTAATTTATAATTGTGTCTGTATCTCAGAGGTGATGCTGTATCAAGATCTGAAAGAAGGTCTAGACAAGGAACCTGCAAAGAACATACTGAAGTATCTCGGATTCGATGTCCAGCCAGAGAAGGCTCAGGAGGTTGGACAGAAGATCTGGGAGTTTTACCTCCACAATGACACAATCTCATATGGGACTAACCTCGTTAAACTGGCTGAGGTACGAGTTAGCGTCTCTCTCATCTTCATATAATGCAAATTCTGAATAATCTCAGTCAGGATAGTCAGTAAGCAAGCCAAAATTCAGACTCTTCAAATTTTAAGGGTGTGCTGTAACCCTTCCGAACCAAGCAACTCTGCATTTTTCCCACAGAGTGTAATTAAACAGCAATTATCTCCATAAACAGCGTTAACCAACTGATCATTGTCAAAGAGATGAATTATATTTTCTCTGAGGTAGCGAATGAGAATTTAAATATTATTTAAGTATGATTTATATGTCGCAGTGTTGGTTAAGTCACTATAAATTAATGTAGAAAACCTCTGAAATGTTGACCATGTCCCAGCAGATGACCACAGACTTCAACTATTACTATGGACTACAGAAGAGTGTGGAAACCCACATAGCTGCTAGTGACACTCCCATATTTGTTTACCACTTTTCATACAGCAGGCGAGACCCTCGATTCTCTCTCGGTAAGTCTCGTTTAAGCTTAGTATTATTGAATGTAAAACAGTAGATGATAAACAGCTTATATAAATTACAGTTATTAAAATCAAGAAAGATACGGAAGGATAAGAGAGATATTCAAGATATCTAGCACAAATGGGGAAAAAAAAATTACACACATAATCTAGGTTAGAATGCCTTAAAGGAAATGACAAGTGATTCAAAAGTGCAGATGACAAAATCAGATGAGAAATGGATTTTATATAAATCACATGTGATGATATGAAACGACTCAGGATGGTATCCTATGATGGTTTTTATAGACATTGTGATGAACATTAAGTTCCAAAAATGAGCAAATCGTGATGATAACTATAAGGCAGTACTTCCAAACGAAGTAGAAAAACAGGCTAAAAACATCCCTCGTCTGTACGAATTTCTTATTTCAGGGGTGCCACACGGAGATGATACGCTCTACTTGTTTCCAAATATTATTGCCGGCACGAAGCTTGTCATAGACAAAGAACACTTTCATATCATCGAGCGCCTGCTGCACATTATTACCAATTTTGTACGAAATGGGTAAGGACAACACAAATAGATATCTCATTTGGCGTTAGCTCATACGTCATACTTTGAGTATTTATGTTTAAAATATGTCCTGTCTTCAATGGTTATAATTCATGAATTTCAGTCTCAAGCCAAAAAGTAGTAATTTATGAGTTTCAGTTTCTTTTCTAGAGAGTAAAATGTACTCCCTTCCTCCTGCTCCTCCCCCACGAACCCTAATCGAAAAATGTAATTCTCCAAAGAAATCCAAAAATGGCTATTGCAATCCTCTCATGGTTCCAGGGATCCGACACCACAAGAAACTCCAGAGCTAAATAACATTTTGTGGCCAGTCATTGAACCAAACAACTTCAAATATGTAGACATCAGCGAGAAACTGACAATCAAGAATAATTTCTTTCCTGAACGAATGGCATTCTGGGACAGCATATTCAAGATGGTTGAAGAGACACCAAAAGTGGTTAAGGATGAGTTATGATAGGTGCAAAGCAGCAAATGAATTGCCAGGACTGTAAATGTGTAGTAATAAAGGTTCTCCAACCAATATGAATGGCTTTTTTTTAAACAATATTGCCAATAGCCAGCAATAAAGTGTATCACTGCACATGTCATTCCTCTTTCACAGAAATTACATTTTTTTATAATAATTTAAGGGAAACCTGAAATGTTGTGATTGAAGAATATTATTACTCTAAGCAAAATATTTGTATTCTAATTTACTGGATTACAGTGTGTTCAACACACAAGGGGAACAATAATTTAATATCTGGGGAGATGAGCTGACCACTCTCAGATATCTTCATGGCACGAAAATAATTAGGTTATGTATTACGTGAAAAGTCTTGCTGAAGGCACACAATTACAAATGTATGTGTGCCAGTTTTGTATCATGTTGCAATAATATAAAAAAATTAAAAAAACATAGACTTCATATATTAGATTGATAGGATAGCAGACTTTCAACTACATTCTATCATACGATAGTTGAGTTCAGAATTAACGATTCATTCGATAGTTACATTATGCTGGTATCGAATAAAAGTTTTCGATAGTACTAATCAATCGATAGCCGGCAGTAAGTACTAGTTCTTCCGACTTGACATACAATGTATCGTACTAGGAGTCCAAAACTCGTATATTCGTAAATATATCGATTTTCTTGCGATTACGATACATGATACTATGCAAATGAAATTAACAATCTATAAAAGACCATGTTTTTAATATTATAAAACTAACCTTCCTGTCAGTTATTCGTCTAACTCTGTACTAACCAGGGCAACGTTCGCTCAGCTGCTGAAAACACGCAGCTCGAATTAACAATGGCTCAAATAATAGTGGACCGATGTTGAGTCCTGTGGTCATGTTACGTCACATCCGCTTCTCAGCTTGGCGCGATGTCGGATGGAGAAGACCGTGTTAGTGCACTGCGTGATTTTGTCTGCCGTCTGCAGCTTGGTACGTATTCTCATTTTGTCTGATTTGTCGGTGTGCTTTTGTACATTTGTAGTGATTTAATTTTTACAATGAATGTAGCGTTGTAGCCAGTTATACTTATCATATTATTTATGTAGTGTCATGGTCTACCCTGTTCTGGCGTTGTGTTATTATAATGTACTGTGACTTTAGCTTCTATATTATCGTTAAGGCATATGTTTTGGCCCATTATATTGCAGATTTAGCTATTTTGCTGTCATCTCAAATACGTTGTATGCAGTCACCTGCTGCTGCTTAGTAAAACACGTATCGCCGAACGAAGTGTTGGAAAGTTAACGCATTTACTAAATTGTCACCTGGAATAATTCAGACTTCGCCGTGAGAAATAATTGCGATTTGCAGGTTATGTGATAGTGCATTTTCAACTAAAACGTTTTTTTTCCTTTATGTAAAATAAAGTGATCATGAACAGTGAATAAGTAAGGACTTTGAAGGAAGTGGTCATGGCATATTTTAATGTACTATCCAGCATTCGTCCGTGCAGATTCGAACTCCCACCGATCAACAGTTACAGCAAACTATTCAACAATTGAAATTATATGTTACCATGGGAACATTCTAACAGAAGGTTTCTTTAATAAAAAAAAAGAACAGCTTATTAAATGTTGAGAAAATAAAGTTTTCACACGCGAGCATAAATTGATACGTGCTTAAAAAAACCCGGGAACAACTTCTACGTACAGACGTAAAATGTTTAATGGAGTTTTTTTAATATTATTTCTTCATAAGTACAACCAGTCTCTCGGAGACTTTCCACTTTAGTTGTATTTGAACAAACAGATCTTTGTATTTTGAAGTTAATTTCTGCTTTATTAGCTATTATTATTATTACTATTATTTCCGCTTATGGAAAAAGTGTGATTAATTACGAATTCCTCAGCATTTATTTCAACACCTAGAATCCGGATTGTTCCGGTCTCAGTACTTCAGATGGTCTTAGCGAAATACGTAGAGAGAAAAGTCGTTTCGTGTGTAATATTGTTCAGATATTAAAATATTACTCTTATAGTAACTAGTCTTGAAGATGGAGATGGTATGTTCCTCCGAAACAACAACATCGACATATCCACAGCCGTATATTTTATTTCGAAATGATTTTAAAATTATTATTTAGTAATACGAAATAACGACAATACGTGGAAGAAATATTCATAGAGCAGAATGTAAGTGGATGGAAAATGAACAGAACTTATGAAACGTGATTTTGGAACTGAAAAAGTTACTAATACGAATAATTCATAACTAAAAGCAAGTATTTTAGAATAAAGTGTGTGTGTGGGGGGGGGGACTGGGCGTAATAGATACTGGACAGCGAATAACTTATTGCTTTAAACTCTTAACACGTTAATTCAAAGCTTTGACCGATGGACTACGCAAAACCGTGTAGCCCCGTGTCAGGCTACAAACAAGTGAAAGTGAGTGAGCGTTAAAGCGTCTCCATGGCAGCGCATAGCGTTATTCGACTTTTTTTGGCCTCAATGATCATCCGATGGCGTCCGAAAACAATCGCCTCACATAATTCTTTTTTAAACTCTTGATTTTCCGCCAACAGAGCGAGACATTTTTATGACGTAGTGTTATAAAATACAGCAATACTTTCATTCAAAAACTAAATATAATTCCGTTTCCCTCTAAATCACTTGTGTTTGGTATTTTAACGACGATGTTCAGGGGCGAAAGAAGGGCAAAACGACGTTTCGGGAATAAAAAAAGTTTTACGAAAGTAAACAAAACATTTTGCAGGAAAATAATAATTTTTAATGCATGTACAAGAATGTTTCTCGGTGTTTTTGTAACGAATTATACCAAATTGTAACATGCTTAAACATCACAAAATTAGGGCGTAGGGGAATATGGTGGCAAGGCTCTGTCCATTCTTAGCCCCCCGCCTCTGATGCCAGTGCTGATCCAGATTAATCCAATCCACACCATTCCTTCCATCTATGGTTAGGTCTTCCGTGTGGTTTTTTCCCTTCAGGCTTTCGAACTATAATTCTGTACATATTATCATCTCCCCTCCGCCCGCTGCATGCCCCGCCCATTTCATCCTACTTGATAGACTGTCCGAATACTATGTGCCGAAGGCAAATCACGCAACCCCTCATCCCTTAATCGAAGACACCCATAGAAGACAAAAATAAAATAATGTTTTATTTTTAACTGTTTAACCTTTACGTTTTTAGACAACAGGCGGGGACAAAAATATTTGTGAACTGCTCTTAACCTCCTCAAGAATCTAAATTTGGTTAGTTACCGTCCGTCGTTCACTGACATCTTAACTTTGTCACGTTTTCAGGACAGACTGTTATTATTAGACGCGGAAAAAGTTTGTGCACAATGAAGGTCAGTGCGCCTGCAGCTCACTGATACGACTACACGCGACACTCACGTGTCGGATAAGTTGCCGCAACGTGACGGCGAACTCATGAAACAAAATCTTCTATTCCGTAAATTAAGCACTCAAATGATTTCCCAGTATTTATTCTTCTAACAGCACACTTTATACTTTGACCCCGTTGAACCTGTTACGGTCCTGTGACCATACGTAGGTCTGCCTTATTTCTTTGTTTCCATATTACACAGATTATCGTGGAATGAGACGAGAAGATGAATGTACGTACCCAAGAACGGGAAATTTTGCTGGACACTTCAATGAATCGATGTTTGTACTCTCACAAACAGTTGGGTACCGAGTTCTAATCCCGTTCGTCACAGTGATGTCTGCATTTTGTTACGAGATGCACTTCGCGGATGTATGTTTTCCACCAGCTTTACTTAACTCTTTCAAGCATGGTGGTAAATATATGTACCACCTATTTTTGTATTCAAAAACTGAATATTTCGTCCTCAGAATGTATTTATGAGTTTCTAATGACCCTCAAAATAAACAGCGATTATTTCCTTAAACAAAATTAAGCAATTTATCTACATGTATGTGTTTGTAATGGTGAAGTGATGTCATCAGCGAGTTAACATCATTCAGAAAATCTGAAGAACACTGAGTGAAAATTTGAATCAAGCCATTTTCAGCAGTCATTCCTGATCGGAGAGACATTTAACTATTTGAAGACCGACGTTCGTCTAAATAACATATGAGTTCAGTCCGTACCGCGAAGAAAACAACACTTCACCATTACAAAGATCAAGTGATTAACGGTGTTTAAAGAAATAATCGCTGCTTCTTCTGTTGACAAAATGCAGACTTACTGAATGATTAAAATTGTTAAAACACCTAAATTAAACTGAGTTAATACCAGCATTAGACGTAAAAGGACACGAACAGCAAGACAAATGAAGAACGCTATGCGATATAAGCTACTTACATGAGGTTCTCTGAGAAACTGAAGAAAACCAGGTAAAAATTGAGTAAAGATAAATGGAACAGAATAAATTCTGAATACAAGACGTTACTGTACCAACTCTCAATCCCCAATGATAAGTGTAAGTTTCACGTGCAAATGAACTAAGCTCAGCTTTCGAAATTGTGTCTGTAACTGTTCAAACAGTTGACTGTCTGCTGTCTGCAGGGTGAGGCAGTGGTGATGATGAGAGCTGTGAACTTATTGTGTCTCAAAAGACGCTTCAAAAGACGCAGACGGCGACGTCTCTGGAGACTGTGGACGTGTTTCCGAACGCCGCGACGCCAAGGAACGATGCCTCATCTGAAAATGATCATCACGGGGTCAGAAGTCTTACGGCGAACGAGGTAAGTGTCCCTGATGAGATAAGATTCTAGGAATATGGTGGCCTTGGATATCACTGCTGCATTTCATAACATTTTTGACTCGATGACGACGTAGAAGGCCCTCTGGAATTTTAATATACTCCAAACAGAACACCTTTCCAATCTTGTTAAAAAACATTTTATACAATTCAATGACTGATCATTTACGCCTGCATGGGGACACAAGAAATGATATAGAAAATTTGGAGAAGAATATTGTTTCAAAATTCGTTATTTTAAATACCACGAAAGGCAGGGGAATGTCTTGAATAGCAGAACGACTATCAGCTTTTCAACGAAGTCCATGTTTCATTGTATTAACTACATCCGTGGGATGGTATGGAATATTTATAGGCCTCTATTATTAATATCTTTCCTGTACGTGCAAATAAAAAAAAATTAAGAGAGAAAAATTCAGTATAAATATGAAATCGGATCATATTTCTTAATACAGTGGATAAATTAAGAACTTTTAGGTCTATCTAATTAAAATCTTTGCTGTGTGACAAATAAGTACATAGCACACTTGTTCCCTCACATGATACGCATTTATAATAATAAAAATATCGTCAACACTACCCGGAATAAAGCAGAAAATATGTCGTTTTCACGGTCAATGCTGTAAATATATCTGTTAGCACTTAAACTTCGTTTCTACGTAAATGGGACAAGAACAGTGAAGTGTCATTATTGCTCATAACGTAAGTTAATTACAGAATGTCGAGATAAGAACAACTACGAATTAATTATAATGTGTGGATAGCCATTCTGGGAAAGAAACGAAGATGAAGACAATTGAATCCGTCCTTGGATGTACAAGCAGCTGTCTCTAGCGGGCCGTGGGTGAGATCACTCGTCGATTGTTACTATCGAGAGGTTTACAACCAATCAGGGCTTGATATCCGGTTCCGCTGGTGGAGGAAACCATTCATATTTGGAAGTGCTACGGTGATTGCCTTCTGAGGAGACACGCCCCCTACCAGGATGCAAAGCTTTCTCCAAGTCGAATTTATTAATTTTTTTTTTTTTTTTTTGTTTCGAAGGATCTGTTCATGCTTTCGCAAAATGTCAGGACGTTAAATCCACGGCCTAATATGAATTCTGCTTATCATTATTAAGTTTCCGAAAGGGAAATCTGTGGAACATTTCTATCAGTTTTACGAATATTGAGCTCTGGGGACAATTGAGGTTAAATCCACGGCCTAATATGAATTCTGCTTATCATTATTAAGTTTCCGAAAGGGAAATCTGTGGAACATTTCTATCAGTTTTACGAATATTGAGCTCTGGGGACAATTGAGGTTAAATCCACGGCCTAATATGAATTCTGCTTATCATTATTAAGTTTCCGAAAGGGAAATCTGTGGAACATTTCTATCAGTTTTACGAATATTGAGCTCTGGGGACAATTAAATTCTGACAAATGTGTCGTCACCAGAACCCCATTGTTAACGTCACTGCCAAATCGTGCATAACATTAAAATATGCAAGTAATCAGACCCTTTTCTGAATCTAACGAAAGTTTAGAATCATAATTGTCTTCCTACATGATTCTATTCTGATTGGCAAATTCTTCTGCATCTTTGACGTGTGTCGTCACCAGAACGGCATTGTTAACCTCACTGCCAAATCGTGCATAACATTTAAATATGCAAGTAATCAGAACCCTTTTCTGAATCTAACGAACGTTTAGAATCATAATTGTCTTCCTACATGATTCTAATCTGATTGGCAAATTCTTCTGCATCTTTAAGCGACGTGCTCGCCTGGTACCGAAGTCTTCTAACGGAAATTCACCTACAATTGTTTAGATTTTACGACCACGGTTATGTCACCAGGCGAAATAGCGACCTCGTCATTGTTGTAACAAACCTGCTTTTTTCTCACAAAACAAGTGAAGGCCAGGTCTCGTGTCCTTGCCTTTCATACGAAAGATAAAGTTTAATTAATCACTTCCCGACCTCCTGAAGACGCATCCTGTTACGCAATTGTTTTTGACAAGATGGCGGTTCATATGTTATATAAATCGCGGGTTGGACTAGCGGTTGTCATGGTGATCCGAGTTTATTTCGTTATTTCTAGTAAATATAGGTTTGTGGTGACACCACGTCTGCATATCCGTGTATGAATTAACGGGCAGGTTTTTATAAAATTTGGTATAAACATCTAGAACATGGAGTCTGTGCCTAGTTCGTGATGTCACTGGAGAAGACCCTCAACACCGTTCAGATTCCATGGATGATGAATCCTGTCTGAGCTCATTATGTGTGGACGAGGTCTTGTTCGTCCTTTAGGGCGCGTTCGCAAAGCTGTCGCTTTGTACGTCTGCCCGTACACAGGAAACAACTCGAAAATGGATAAACCTATTTTTATTACATGTTATACGAGCCTAGTTTAAAATGTTATGAAATATTATCGTAAATCCATGCGGGTCAGAAACTGTTGTTTTGTAACTAAATAGATGAGATCTCACAGCCCTAATCAACAATGTTGAGCGAAACATAATAATAATTCTCTTCACAACCAACTTACAGCAGCGCTCTAGTAAGCCAGTCCGGTGGCGACATCTCGAACGAGTCCCTGGAATTACTGAACAGTTCAGCGTACAAGAATTAAATTCCAACTCCAAAGAAAATAGTTCCATTTTGTTTTGCTGTTTGAGCCGAGAACACAAAAAACTCATAAATACAAAATAAAGAGTTCCTGACTCTTGAAGTAGGTGGGTCTCTGGGCTCTAAGGGGTTAAAGAAACAGGGCAGAAGGGTGTGGATTGGCTTCACTGTTGGGCTTTTCTGGACACTGTAATGAAAATAGGATCTGAGGTTCATCACGGCGAAGAGTCCGAACATGGCTTCTTACTATAATTAAACTTCGAATTTTATAAAAGCAGGGAATTTCTTGGCCAGCTAAACGACCATTAGCGTCTCAAAGGGGGGGCGATAGAAATGAAATTTAAAACTCAATCCAACGATAATCTCTAACTACGATACAGAAAATAATTATTTTTCAATTCCGTCTAAAGTCCGGCGTAATCCTATTCCATTTACATCTAAAATTGCAGAAGACACCGACGGAACAGTATTTTGTGAACAAAATTAATGTCCCTGCAGAATATTTTCAGGGAAATTTCTGGCATTAATTTTCGTTTACGTCAAAAATGTATTTTTACACTGGGACCATCGAAATTTTCTGCTAAAGACGGGTTAATCCATCAGACCATCGACACAGAATGGCCACTGACGAAGTACGTGGTTCTAAACGACGTTCTTAATTTGTTAAGTGGCTGGCTAATGTCGCCTCCCCTTGTGGTTCTGAAGTCGAGAGCTGCTGTCAACAAGGCGAGGAAAGTGACATGACTCAGCCCGCGATCCCAATATGGCTCCGTGTACCCCACGTTACGTCACATCCGTCACACCTGACATCTTATTGATTCGTGTGTCGTGTTGTTGGACTTCAAGGTTATTCAACCGTTAATAGACATTCGACGATATTCAATGAATGGCAGAATGCTCTTCTGATTTTCTAAGGCAATTAGTTCCATTGTTTGGTCGAAGACAGCGCCGAAGTGAGTCATATTACAACTCACGGCACGTCCATGTGGCCAACCTCAATGAAGTCCTAATTAACCCTTTAAATTTCAGTAGTAATTAACTAAATGTCCCACCTGCTTCAACAAACAGTAATTTATTTTGTACGTATGGGTTTCACGTCATTTTCACCGTAAACAGCGTTGATCAGTTGATCTTTGTAATGGTGAAGTGTGGTGTTTTCTTCGCGGTACGGACTGAATTCTTTAATATTAATCAGACGAACTATGATTCTCAGTGTAAACAGCGATTATTTCCTTAAACAGCGTTGATCAGTTGATCTTTGTAATGGTGAAGTGTGGTGTTTTCTTCGCGGTACGGACTGAGTTCTTAAATATTTCTCCACTTCCAAACACTTCGCCTTCACTACAACATCCCTTTACAAGAAGGACGAGTGGGCACTGCCTGGGTGACTTCATAGTCTCAAATATAAATTTATGTGCCCCCTGTTAAAAAGCAGTGTCCATCACTACCCCCCCACATCGTCTTTTTTGGCTTCAAAGGGTTAAGAGTCCATCCATAGGTTTCAACTTACTAAGTAACGAAACTCATGATATACGAGGTTACTTCATTATAATTTTAGTTGCTGAAGTGGCTAAGAAATTCTGTACTACCGTAATCATAAAAATTCCAATGTTTTATCTCATTCTCTGCTAGTTCTAGTGGATTCAAAATTCTTGTGGATGTTTCTAAAACAAATTTTAATATTATCCTCACACCTGTGCCTTCGAAGTTCCCTTAACGCTAGAGACCAAATTTCGCACACAAATAACACGTAAAATTATGTTGTTTTTTTGCATATTTTAATTTCTAATTTTTTTATAATGGTAGACGTGAACTCGAAAGATTCTGACCAATTTCGTTTCTTTCGTCGAAAATAACAAGTCTTCTGTCTGGCGAGTAGTGCGCTGATGGTAACATTTAGTCGATTAGAACTGTATTACCCTGAATGTCCAGATGTAGGACACACACATGGAAGCATAACTTTGTTTACGCCACACATCGTACACCTTTGCGTTAGGCACACCGTATTACACAACCACTCAATATTCTGTACAACTTCTGAGGGCTGCATGGCCGACTCATTTCCAAAGTTTTGCTTGCAATGACAAGAGACAGTCGTTGCCACTTCAACTGGTTTGCTTTCATGTTCTTTCTGGTTGATTTCTCAAGAACTGGTAAAACTACAAAGTACGAAGTTTCATACGCGAGAGACCTGTTCCAGATGTTATTACTGGATTCACTGAACACCTGTTCCAACAGATGTTGGCAAGTCTATTGGTCTTGTTAAGCATCGCTAAGTGTGACAAAGCAGATAAACGCAAATTCCGTGAATATGAGAGTGAAAATTGTCATGTTAAACGAAGTTATTGGAATAAAAAAGACCACTTCAGG